ATTGCTTTTTTATTATTTTAAGGACAGAAAGTCAGCCAAAAAAGTCAAAGCAGTATGCTTAAAAAAATTATTAAACGTTATTTGCATTTTATGCAACATTGAATCTTTGGACATCAGTGCATTCAGTGTGGCCTTACTCTAGGAATAACAGCCATAAACCTAACAGCTTAAGTACTGCTGATGTGTCCAACAAATTAGATAAACAAGGACGAGACCAAATCGCTGACTTTAATTACAAACATAGAACAGCCTCTAACTAGCCTCGAAGCAAGTAACCATAACATTAAACCAAAAACAAGATCCATCCATTTTCATCCACTTATCTCTTACCCAAATCACACTGCACCGTACCAACCCCTTATGAACCTACACTGGAAGGTACCAACCGCCCTAACCAGGATTCAATCTTACCCAGGAGGTGACACACCAATGACAGAGACGTTGCCTCTGGGCCAAAGAACCACCAAAAACAAGATAAAACAATAAAATTAAAAAGCTTTTTTTGCTACCCATCTGCTACCCATGTGACTATGCGTGTGGCAAGGCTCGGGAGCCTTCAAGGTAGCTCATGTGATCATACCCTAAATGAGGGTTAGGGTAGAACAGAGTTCTTCGAAGTTTAGAATAACATTGTCTTCGCAGTAATGAGTAACCTGTCATTACAGTCACCACACAACAAGTCTCCCAAAATATTAAATCTGCAGAAAATGTGAAAATCAACACCTGGCCCTGTTCTTTGTTTCCATTCTGACACAACACCGTTATCCACAAACACACACACACACATCTCTCCTTCTCAGCTGAAAACAACGGTGCCTATAACGCCAGCGAGAAAATAGCTTTCTCTGTTAACTGTGATTGAACAAGGCGCCAGCGGATGACAATCGATTCTGTTAACTGGACCTGGAAAGAGTCTCAGCCTCTGACTGATCTGACAAAGACACCTTCATCTCTTCTTTAATCCACTTATAAGACTGGGATTATATCACAGGGGAAGTTTAATCAGAGACAACAGTCGGTACGGGGAAGACAGAGTGTGTGTGTGTGTGTGTGTGTATGTCAGCAGTAGGCAGGTGTGTGTGTGTTTGGGAATTCTCTGTCTGTGTCTGTACATGGTGCCCACGGTGGACGTTCGCTGTGACAACAGCACTGAGTAATCTGGGAACGATGCGAGTTAATGAGGCCATAAACCAGATGTGTCCCATTCACACATGTGGGCCAAGAAGTTACTGAAGAGCTAACGGTTTCCCTGGCACCACTTCACATGACGACAACTCAGCCCAATGCATCGTTTCGATGCAATAACACAGCATAGACAAATGCGTACTCCTACAGACCAGCTCACCGCTGCTGAAAGCCGCTGCGTTTTATGTGAATTTCTGTCATTATGTTTTTGGAGCTGTTTTGACAAAATTACTAAAAAAAAAAAAAAAAAAACATAAAATACTTAGTTTATCTTGGAATGGCTCTACTTTGGACACTGGCCTGATTTTGCTTTATGCACAGTCCTCTGAGAGTAGATGTACTTGACTCCAAAGACTCCATTTCAAACATGTCCCACTTGGAGGAGGATTAAAGAAACTAAATCCATGCTTGGGTCAGTCACCATCATAAGCTCTGGGCAGTTCTGATGACCAAATAAACCACTGAGGAACTACTGCAATAAGAGATAAGTCACAGTTCATAGCTAAGGCCTTATGTAACCTAGCAGATTTTATAACCTTATTAGTAGGGATGTCCGATATCACATTTTTGTTGATATCCAATATGCCGATATTATATAAATCACATTTTTGTTGATATCCAATATGCCAATATTGGATAAAACTTAATTTCCAATTCCGATATTAACCAATACGATGTACGCAGTCGTTTGCCCCTAAAACTGCTGTAAACGTCTTAGGCCCCTATAAGCGATTCCAACATATTTGGCGAAACCCAGGCAGTGTGTCATTATCGGAGGAAAATCCAATAGCGATTCTTACAGATATTACATAATTATGCTAATATTGGGCCGATGATATCGGCTGGCTGATATTATGGGACATTCTTACTTTAACAGATGTCAATAGATTTTGGTTTTGCATACACAATGGCAGGGCAAATTTCAGAGATATTAATGGAGCCCAGACTTGATAGATTAGTGATTCTAAAACTGTAGATATAGACAAAACGTTTGTCAGCCCAACCCGAGAAAAGAACAAGAGAAGTCTGACTATACAGGTGTCAATACATGACTGAGCAGAAACTGGAGGAGAGAACAAAATCACATCACTGACACAGAAGGAAGATAAGCATCTGGTTTGTTCACTTTAAGAATAACAAAGATCGGCTGCATGTCAACATGAGCTACGAGTTCAACACTATGTCAGTAAGCTGACCTAAAATGATCAATCATCCAATCAGCCAAAGATCAAGCTTAAAAGAACCAACAGAAAAAAAATCACACTGAGAATGTGTCTTTAGATGATATTTATAATATCAACTCAGAAAACATTTTTTTTCTCTGACTCTTAAATCCATCTCTGTTCCCTCTACAGGAGGGTGTCAAACTCATTTTGGCTCAGGGGCTGCATACCACCTAGTTAGATGTCAAATGGCCCAAACCAGTACAATCAAAACATGAGGTAAACAGACGTATGGTAGAAACATCTTATTTATGAAATCCATCCATCCATTTTCATCTGCTTATCCGTTACCAGGTCGCGGGGGCAGCAGTCTCCACCGTACCAACACCCCTGAACCTTCCTGAACCCTGGGGTTCCACACCAATGACAGAGACAGAATTTATAAATTGGGCCGGATAGAACCCTTGAGTGGGCCGGTTTGTGCCCACGGGCCGTATGTTTGTAACCTCTGCTCTACAGCAAGGTATTATGAGCTGGAGAGGTAAAAGTAGAATTTTCCTAACTTCACACTAAGGTGTCAAATATTCAAACTTGAACACCAGAAAAAGATGTCACATCAGTGGCTGATGCACCATTTAGAGAATGTCTGAAGGGGGCGGCATTAAGGTAAAAAAAAAAGAAAGCCTTATCCAGCTAATAAGATATAAATAAAACCCGAAGGATGGCAATTAATTTGAAATGAAACTGAAGACCACTCCTACCTTCTTACTGCTCTGGGTGATACTTGATCGCAGTCACAAAAAAAAAAGAGAGAGGGTCTTCCTTAATCAGTCATAGCATTAGCAGGAGAGCAGCAGCACGATAGGGGGTCTTATTATTTGCTTCCCTTAGGTTTTGTGCACTCTCCTGAGAGGCTGCATTCATTTTCACAGCAGATCCCCCTTATCTCTGCTGCTCTCTTCCTCTTTCACACCCATTCCATCATCTCAATTCTTTTAGGCAGCTCCCTCATTCCCTCTTCCTCCCAACCCTCCTCCTCCTCCTGCTCCATGCTCCAACTCCCATCCCTCTTGAAAACAGAAATATATCCCAGTAAAGTAAACCCTTGAAGGGAAGACTTTGGAATCTGCTCTGCCAAAGTGTCAAACATCATGACGGCTGTTTCTTTTGATTTTCAACATATTTTGACAATGAAGTCTCTCTCCTCTTTTTCATTTCCCCGTTCTTTCAAGGATGATTGCGCCTCTGAGAAGATTTTCCTGCGTTGCTGGCTGGCGTCTTATCTGGTCTAAATCGTTAGTGCTTACTGTGCTCATCACAGTTGCATTCATTTATTACGCTTCACTTTCTCTCCCTGTGAAGAATGATTAGTTGTGGCGTCCTGGAGTTTCGGAAGCACACGGTGACTCTGAAGACGGGAAACGTGTGGAAAAACATCAAAATAACCAGACACCACTTTGTTCTTATATCTTTTTAGGATTTAAAGCTGAGGGTTCATTTTCACAAACCTGCCTTTATTTGTTCAACTTCTCTCTTTGATACGCATTTTGATTTTGGTTCCACGGACCAATGACTAGGACGAATCGGAGGAGAGAGTCAGCCTAACATTCCTGGCCATTTTTCATTTTCTTCTGAGAAAAATGCATTTCAGGTTAAAGTTGAACAGTAAACTTCTCAAACACAAATCTGACTCCATTTTTGGGACTTAATCGTAGGCTCGTTAAACCTGACACGGGAAAATAACGGGTCGATGACCTCAAAAGTTTTGTCGCTCAAAATTTAGTAGGGCATTAAAAACGAAGGAGTTATTTTTTAAACCTGACAGGAAAATAGCTTCCTTGAATTCGAAGGCAATTTTCAGATTTTTACTGCATACTTCCAACATATTCTCGCAGACCTGGGACTGCGGGTCTACTATGGGTCCAATATTTTTTAGTAATAATATTAATTAATAATAATTGAGTCCCTTATTTATGTCACAATAGGGAAATTGACAGTATGAGTCTTTGCACACAGGAGGCGCCATTAACTATGCGGACGCAACTTAGAGGCTGCCACGCAGGAGGCACCATTAGGGATTTGTGTTTTTTCTGGGAATCGGGCTGAGGACTCTGCGTGTAAAACCGCTACACTATGGAAGTCGTATCTATCCATCTATCACCCATCTATCTATCCATCTATCCATCTGTCTATCCTGTCTATCCATCTATCCATCCATCCATCTATCCATCCATCTATCATCCATCTATCCATCCATCTATCTATCCATCTATCATCCATCTATCCATCTGTCTATCCATCTATCCATCCATCCATCCAGCTACTGAATTTCGGATACTTTATCAATCCACGTACACCATCACTGAGTGGTTCTGACCCATACAAACCTTAACAACTTGCCTATCCCCAGATCGTTCACTAAAGTAATTGCTTAGAGACGCCACTTTTTACAGGTTAGCACTAAGACTGTTGTTGTTTTTAATGAGTGCCCTATTTTAGTCATCTGACCTATTGAGGAGAGATCTCAGGGACCGGACATGTTGGAAAGCAAGTGACATCATCTCCTGTGTGTAGTACAATACCATTACGAGTCACATTGAGTGACATCATGTCAGATCAAAGGACAAGAACTTACGTACTGGAACAACATCGTTCAGTTCACCTCCAAAGACCCAATGATCACACCTGCACCCTGTGATAGAAGTCAAGCAGGTTCATCTAACATGGACTGCAGGGGAGATGGACCTCATTTTGAAAGATATAGTAAGTGCTTGAATTGTTTATATCCCTGGCTCTAAATCTAAAAGGTTAGAGTAACATTTTCTATCTTCTCTTCTCTGTCTGATTCGCAGTTGTTCGTGTTTTCCTCTCTCAAAGACTTGGGACACCAATTACAGATACCGGTGAACCGTCCCGACAAAATAGGCGACGTGGGCGAAATCGACACCGCCGACGTCGGCAGCGTCAGAGACGCCAAAGGCAACAACAAAATCAACAGCAGCAACAGGATCAGTAAAGGCCACAACAACCCCCACCCCAATTATAACCTGCACACTATCAATTAACATCAAAGTCATTGTAATGAAAAAGACGCTAATGCTAGCGGTGGGGTGAGGTAAAACCAGAGGTGGCAATCAAATGTATAATTAATTTTCTCAAACTGGAGAAATTGATACCAATATCTAAAATGTTTAGTCAAAGGAGAATCAGCATGGAAAGTGTTAGTTGGGGTTGGCTTAACTTAACCTCTCATTAACTTTTGATCTTCAAAGGCATACACTGTGACAAAGACCCTATCATTCCGTACTGTACATAGGATGAGCTAAAAAAAACTAGAATTAGTTTAAACACAAGCAAAAACACCAAAATGGGCCACTAGTCTGAACATTTTTTCTGTCGTTGTAATGTTTTCTAAGTGAAAAGAACCCACTGTTTGTGTTAACCAAGGATCATACCTATGTGAAGTTTAGGACTATTGACTTAGGGTTTATATATAAATCTATCTCTGTCATTACTATGTATGTGACTTTTAAAACATGTTAACGATAACCATGCCTGAAAACCAAGTTTTTTGACTGATAAATTATGTTTAGGCCCCTCTCAGTGATGTGTCAACATTGTTTGCCATATATTGATTGGGGCAAAACCAGGATTGGTTCACATAAATGTAAATCACTTTTTTTTTTCCATCTATTAAAAATTGTTAATGTTTACAGTTTCAAGTCCTTTCGGGCTGATGTATTAGAGTCTATCCAGAGTTTGTGACTGAGTAAATACACATTTATTGAGAAGGAATTCGTGGGATTAAGACCTAACAGATGAGTAGCTTCAAGGAAACACTCAATTAATAGGACTCATTTAAAAAGTAATTCCTTTTGTGAGCAGTATAAATGGACTGGAAAGGAAAGGAGAGTTTCCCCCTGTTTTATAACGATGAGAATATGAGGGGAAGAAGTTAGGATCAATGCTACTGTTGGTGGCTATAACAGCCTGTGGGGGCAGCATTGCCACACGCTCGTGTAAATGCTCCACATTGGCCGACTACGTAGTCGCATCGTAGCCGTGTAATCAGGGCAGCTACTGGTTAAATACATTTTAAATAACTGGTGACATCACGAGAGATCAAAGGACAAAAACACGACAGTGCTACAACTATTTAAAGCTCACATGAACAAATGTAACGTTGGATTGGCTGACATGGACTGCAGGGGAGATGGGCCGCATGTCCGTAGACGTAAGTAGACTGACAGCTCATAATTATTAATCATCACAACTTGAATTTACCACTTGACATAGGGTAAGTGAAAACACAACATTTCGTGTCACATTTACAGGTCAACGTTTATACCTATCACGAAGACATGGGAACAGGACACCAACAGTCCCTGGATACGTTGAACCCCATCGACAACACTGGCGCCGATGGAGAAACCGACACCATCAGCGACGAAGACGTCAGCGAATACAACTAAATCAGCAGCAGCCACAACCAC